GGCATGCCTCGGAAAATTCGAGCGCCAGATGTCTGGTCCGCCCCTTCATGGGCGCGCCTGGGCACAAGGATGAGGATACGGCAGAGTCGTGTCCTGCGACTATGCGGATCGCCCAGCCTTGAACGATCGCGACTTTCCGATAGCGCGGACCGTTGGACGACGGTAGATTCCAAGCCACCGACGACGTTCAGCCTTGAACAGCAGCGCCAGGGTGGCCGCCGCGCCGACGCGGGCGCAAACCTGCCGCACCTGCCCGCCCCTGGAGGCGGGCACCACTTTTTGCGGTCCCAGGGCACAACTCCGAATCCGAAGCAGGAAAAGCAAGACCCCAGGAGACCCCACGAGAACCCCGAGAAGCCCATCTCCCCCTGCTCCTCCTGCTCCTGCTCCTCCTGCTCCTGCTCCTCCTCCTCCTCCTCCTCCTCCTCCTCCTCCTCCTCCTCCTCCTCCTCCTCCTCCTCCTCCTCGTCCTCAATCCTCATCATCTCATACTTCCTCCTCCTACTCCCTCCTCCTCCTCCTCCTCCTCCTCTCCTTCCTCCTCCTCCTCCTCCTCCTCTCCTCTCCTAATCCTCCTCCTGCTCCTCCTCCCTCCCTCCTCCTTCCCTCCTCCTCCCTCCTCCTCCCTCCCTTCCTCCCTCATCCTCCCCTCCTCCTCCATCCCTCCTCCCTCCTCCTCCCTCCCTCCTCCCCTCCCTCCTCCCTCCCCTCCTCCCTCCCTCCCTCCCGCCTCATCCTCCTCCTCCTCATCCTACCCTCATCCTCCTCCTCCTCCTCCCGTCCTCCTCCTCTCCTCTCCTCGTCTCGTCCTCTCACTCCTTCCTCTCCTCCTCCTCCTCCTTCCTCCTCCTGCTCCTCGTCCTCCTCCTCCCGCCTCCTCTCCTCCTCCTTCCTCCATTCCTTCCTCCTCCTCCCTACCTCCTCCTCCTCCTCCTCCTCCTCCTCCTCCTCCTCCTCCTTCCCCGGGCACGACTCCCTGCTCTTCTGGACAAGCAGGGCCATCCCCAGCCCCACCCACGGAGCCTTGGCCCTCCAGACCGACCCTTCTCATCCAAGGTGTGAATGGGTGCCGTCTCCTCTGGCCTTCGCAACATACCCCCAGAAACCCTAAACCCTAAACCCGGGGACATGCTGGGGGAGCCACCTCTTCCTGTCCCAGTGTAGACGGACGAAGAGCCACCCTCCTCCTCCTCCTCCTCCTCCTCCTCCTCCTCCTCCTCCTCCTCCTTCCCCGGGCACGACTCCCTGCTCTTCTGGACAAGCAGGGCCATCCCCAGCCCCACCCACGGAGCCTTGGCCCTCCAGACCGACCCTTCTCATCCAAGGTGTGAATGGGTGCCGTCTCCTCTGGCCTTCGCAACATACCCCCAGAAACCCTAAACCCTAAACCCGGGGACATGCTGGGGGAGCCACCTCTTCCTGTCCCAGTGTAGACGGACGAAGAGCCACCCGCACACTGACAACCACTCCAACAGACGCCCACTAGCAGATGCTCCTAAAGGACACATGGAACAGAACAAGGCTGCAAAACGCGCAGGACAGTTCAGTCAACGCCATGGATGGGGGTCGTAGTGGCTTTTCTTCCCATCACAATCAGGAGTGGGATGGTTCTAATGAACGATTCTGCTTTGATTCGTTCATTACGGTGCCCCCAAGAAGTCCCGTTTCTTTCACGGCCCCGAGGCCTGGCGAGGACCCCCGGATGCCGGAAACGGGCAAAAACCCTCTGCCGTGCTTCTCCGCGACGCGAAGATGCCAGGGACGGGGGTGCGGGATGGCCCTGACCATGACATCTGGACACGCTGAAGGGGGAAACGCTTCGAGGGAAGAGCTCAGAGCGGTGATCCCCGAGCCGGGAATCGGCGACACCTCGCGGGGGGATCGGCGATGGGCCCCCGACGGCGACCCCGCACGCTCCTGGGCGGAGTGGGCTCTCGGGCCCCTCGGCGATGTTAGGGTCGACGCGTGCCCCCCTGAGCTGAGCCTATCTCGGGGAACAAAAAACGGCATAAAGCATCAGGTCGGGCCTGTCCCCCTACAGGGGGATGTTGGACGAAACATATAAAAAAATATTCAAAAATCCTCAAAAGATGCCCCGAAATGCTTAAGAAGTAGTCCCTGACTATTTTTTGACTATTCTTGAATTTTCCCCCTGTAGAGGGACAGGCCCGACTTGGCATAAGCATAAACCCTCGGCGGTCCGCGCGGATTTCTTGGATCTGCGCTGGACCCCCGTCCCTGGCGCGCGGAGCGCGCCAGGGGCGGCGCTGGAGGCGCCGCCAGGGGGCCCCAGCGCAGATCCAAGAAGTCCGCGCGGAACTCCGAAAGCGTATGTTTATGCCGTTCTCCTTCGAGATTAAGGGTCGATGCGTTCCCCCCTGAGCCCATCCCCCCTAACGTTGCCCCTGAATCATCCTCGTCGACCTGTCTTCGGGTCATGAAACTCGGGCCTTCGGGTACCGTTCGGGGCCATCCCGGCACCCCCCCACCGACGCCTCTCGGCGAGGCGCAGGCCGGAACAAAGCGCTGGGAAGCGACGAGAACGCCCCAGAGAACTCGACCCTCGATCGGCGCGAGGACGTCAGGGCAAGGTGCCTAGGATGGTCCTAGCCTTAAGTCGGGCCTGTCCCCCTACAGGGGGATTTTCGACGAAAAATAAAAAATACCCTACAAATACCCCAAAAAGGTCAAAAATATCAAAAATAGTCCCCAGGCTATTTTTTGACTATCTTTGTATTATTCTTGGGGTATGTTTTACCTTTCGTCGAAAATCCCCCTGTAGGGGGACAGGCCCGACTTAATCCTGGCCATGACTTCTGGACACGCCCTGGCGGTGGGCCTCTCGATCCGCACCCACGCGCAGCACTCGAGGCCGCGGCCCTCGGGCACCCCGAGCAGGGCCCTGAGCCGCCCGGCGTGCTCCCCAGCGGCGGCGCCCAGCGCGGCCAGCAGCCCCTCCACCTGTGCTTTGAGGGGAGAGCCCTTGGAGGTTCTGCGCATGAGGCGTGTGAAGGGGCCCTGGGACACACAAATAGGTGGACACAAATGAAAAGGCTCCCCATATCTTTGCATATGTTCTAGGTTTTTGTCTTCCCCCCCCAAACTTCCCACATGTTCCTATATTTTCCTGGGGATCGACGATTGATTGTGTCTGTGTGTTTTTCGCCTCCTGCGTGTGTGTGTGTGTGAGAAACTGACTTCAAGACAGGTGCCGACCGGCTAGCGCCTGCTGGTGTCCATCAATGTCCCGATCAGAGCCTACTAAAGCGCCTGTTAGCGCCTGTTGGCGCCTATTGGCGCCTATTGGCGCCTATACGCGACCACTAACAAGCACTAACAAACATGAATGGCTGGGGAAGAAGACGACAACGCATACGCAAAAGGACCCTCACGCATAACATTTCTGATGGACTCCTAGCGCGGCAGCTTGAGACCCAAGTTACGTCGGACTCACGTCGGATGTACGTCGGGCACACGTCGGATCTAGGTTTCGGTCGGGCCTGCCCGCCTACACGGGGATGTTGGACGAAATATTTAAAATAGTCACACACACACACACAAAAAAAAAAAAAAAAAAAAAAAAACTCAATCCCCAGACTGTTTTTTTACTATTTTGAATATTCCCCCTGTGGATGGACAGGCCCGACTTAAATCTAGGCTGGACTCGCGTCGGAACATCGCCGCCCGAGCGTCGTCCCCTATCTTACGGGGCAGACGCGCGGATTAGACAGCGCAACTGCTGCGCGCCGCGCAGGGCCTCATCACCTCCGGTATGTTCCCCACGAGGAGGAGGAAGAGGGGGAGGAGGAGGGGGAGATGGAGGAGAAGGAAGAGGAGGAGGAGGAGGAGGAGGAGGAGGAGGAGGAGGAGGAGGAGGAGGAGGAGGAGGAGGACGGGTCGCCTAAGCCCTTCGGAGAAACCCTCCACGTGCAGCGAGGCAGGGGCGAGGCATGGGGCACACGGCACGCGCGCACACCACCAGCGCGCCAGCCGCCGCCGGGAGCCGCTGCAGACGCGCGCCAGAGGCGTGGCCGTGCAGGGCATCCTCGGAGAGGGCGCCCACTCCAAATTCTCTTCTTTAGCATTTCCCAGGGACAAACCCTATCAGTGCATGGTTTGATCGATCAAGAGATCGACCGGGAACCTAAGAACCCAAAACCCACCGAACACGGCCTGGAACCAATAACCAGGAGCCCGGGAGCCCGGAACCGGGAGCCCGGGAACCCAGCCAGCCACCAAAATCGGCGGGACACTTTCGCCAAATCTTTCAATTTCCGCTAGGACCCCTTCAGTGCAAGCACTGATTGGGGAAAAACACACACACACACACACACACACGCACACACACACACACACAAACCTAAAAAAGGGGAGATCAAAAAAACACAAAACAAGAAGGGCCACAAACGTCACAGGAGAGCCGTCCAAGACAGCTCGAATCAGACCCCCTCCCAAATCAGACCACCCCCATGTACTTGCGAAATCCTGAGTAGCTTGGAGCTCCAACATCTTGACAAAAAATAATCCCCCGACCGCCCATCCCTGAAACCCAGGCGTCGCGGCTGTTCCTTGGAAGGCCAAGTCTACCTGCTTCTAGATGGCCAAGATCTGGGGCCATGCCAGATACAGCTCTCACCTTCTAGCCACAAGCGCCTGAGACACATTCGGTGTGGTTGCGTATACAGGAACATTCGGGGTGGATACGTCTGTAGACAGTGCAGCCTTTGCGTTCGGCGCACTGCAAGATCGGAGAAACGGTACATCCGTCTACAATATGTTCCTGTTCTAGACCAGGTCTCACATGGTACTCCAAACTGTTCCACACGAGGCGTTTTCGCCAAATTTCGGTCCCTTCACCGATCGATCTGGCCCGAAAAATGCCGCTGGAAGATGAGGTGTAGGGTTCCGCTCGTGATGCCTCGCGATGATGCGCTGACGGGCACAAGAAGAAGAAGAAGAAAAAACTGCACATGCATAAACCCTGACATGCTCGGGTCTCGAAAAAGATACGACGCGCGGTGTTTCATAGTTTTCGGTCCCAGTGGACCCTTGCCAGGCCCCAGGCTCGCCAAAAAACGGCTCGGGATGAATCGCTGGCCCTGGAAAAAAAGGGCCTGGACTTGCGGGGTCTCCGTGGTCAAAAATCAGGGCGTCGGATCTCTGGGACTTTGGGTGGCCCAAAGGGGGGGTCCAGCTGAAAGGGGGTGGTGCAATAGATTTGGGACAATCGTATTGCAAATGCATTGCGCCGGAGAACTGTATTGCATTGTATCACAAGCAATGTACTGCACGCGAAAATCCAGCAACGCATCTGCGCCCCAAATGTATTGCAGCCCCACAAAAGTCTATTGCACCAGATCTATTTTGCACCACCCCCTCGTCGCTGGACCCCCTTCTCGGTCCACCCGAAAGGGGGCCACCCGCTCAGGGGGGGTCGTCAGCGGGGGTCCCGGGTGAGGTCCAGGGGTGTGCCGACACGGGGCGGCGGTGCCATGCGAACTTTCCCACTGGGGCCTCAGGTGGAGCTTCCTGTGGGGCCGCGAAACGTGTGATGTTGTGCGGAAATGGGGCGGCGGTGCCATGCGAGCTTTTCCACTGGGGCCTCAGGTGGAGCTTCCTATGGGGCCACGAAACGTGTGATGTTGTGCGGAAATGGGGCGGCGGTGCCATGCGAACTTTCCCACTGGGGCCTTAGGTGGAGCTTCCTGTGGGGCCGCGAAACGTGTGAGGGGTGTGCCGACATGGGGCGGCGGTGCCATGCGAGCTTCTCCACTGGGGCCTTCGGTGGAGCTTCCTATGGGGCCACGAAACTTGTTAGGGGGGGGGCGAAATTGGGCGGCGGTGCCATGCGAACTTTCCCATTGGGGCCTGAGGTGGGGCTCCCTATGGGACCACGAAACGTGTGAGGGGTGTGCCGAAATGGGGCGGCGGTGCCATGCGAATTTTCCCATTGGGGCCTTAGGTGGAGCTCACCATGGGGCCACGAAACGTGTGAGGGGTGTGCCGAAATGGGATATGCGGAGAGCAGAGGCAGGGAGGGGAGGAGGGAGGAGGAGGAGGGGGACAGGGAGGGGGAGGAGGAAGGAGGATCGTGGGGCGCTCTCTTCAAAACGAGGATCTAACACCACAGGATGGTTGGAAAAAACATATCGTCAGAGGTCTGGCTGTGTACCCAGACATCCGATGTCTTGATTCGCCCCATACGCGATCCCCGGAACGGCAGACCCGTTCCCCAGGGCTGGCTTTTCATCCCGAGTCGTTGCTTGACGGTCCTGGGGCCCGGCGAGGGCCCCCAAATGCCGAAAACAATGAAAACATTGAAGATGGTTCGGATGTCCGGGTACCCCCTGGGCCTTTCCAGGGCTGCGCTCTTGACCAAAAAGATTCGGGGAAATCCCGCCGCAGCGGCGAGAGCTGTCCAGGACGAGCAGCGGTATCGGCACCATTTCCTCCTCTGATACTTTGGGGGAGCCCAAAAGCACCCATACCGCAACCCCCCGGACCTCTCCTGGGGTGCGTTCTGACCAGGGTTTCGAGGCGAATCCAGCAGTGGCGACGAGGGCCTCCCAGAAGGCACAAAAAGGGGAAAACGAGGCGAGGGTAGTGGTATGGGTACCTTTTCCTCTTCTGATACTTGGCGCCCTCCGAGATCCTCGATCTCGGAGACCACGAAGCGGTCGACCTCCGCCATGGCGCCCCGCAGAAGCGCCTCCGCGTCCCTCAAGCAGCCCTCCAAGCGACCCGCGAGCGCGAAGCCGCCCGAGGCCGCGCCGCGCTCGAGGCGGAGGTGCCCCGGGAAGAGCGCCAGCAGCTCCCTGTCGAGCCTCTCGGCCAGCGCGTCCGCCTGGGGCGACACAACGGCTGCACACCGACACCCGCGGCTCGGGCACGCACGAGCACTCGGCGGCGAGCGAGGGGGGGAAGCGAGAAGGAGAAGGCCCTCTGAGAGGTTTCCTGCGCCTCCGGGGAAGGCTCAGAACACTTCTCAGAAGGCCCAGGGGACTTCCGAGCCTTCTGAGAAGGCCTTCTCCTTCTCACTTCCCCCCCGAGCTCGCCGCCGAGACATGGATTGCGGATCCGTGGACCTGGCGCCTGGCCGCCAGAGCCACGGATCGGAGACGGCAGTCCAAAAAAACTGGGGCTGATGCCGCTCCGTCTGGCCATGGAGCGCGCCGATTATGCACGGAAAGAGGGGCCGTCGCTGATCCACAAGCCTTGTCCCATGTTTGCGGTTCCTCGAAGGTTGGAACTCGCGGGTTTCTTGGATCTGCGCTTAGGTCGGGCATGTCCCCCTACAGGCGGATTTTGGACGAAAAATTGATAAATTGTCCAAAAATTCCCCAACAGAATCAAAAACTATTTGAGAATCGTCCCCTGACAATTTTTGTACTAAAAATTCTTCCTGTAGAGGGACAGGCCCGACTCAAATCTGCGCTTGGCGCCCGCTTTGAGGGGCAACGATAAAGGGGCATAGAGGGGGGAAACGTCGACCTCGAAGGGGCGATGCATCGCAGATGGATCGGCGAGAGGCCCCCGATGGTGAATCCGCACGTTCCTGTGCAGGTTGGGGCTGTCGGGCCCATCTCAGCGATCAATGATCGATTGAAGGTCGATGCATCCCCCCCTATGCCTATCCCCCCTACGGTTGCCCCTGACCCCTGACGGCACCTCCCGTGCCGCCCCTGACGCGCTCCGCGCACCAGGGTATGCGGGGTCCCAGCACCGACCCGAGAAATCTGCGCGGAGCTCCGGTTTACGTGTACGCAAGCCCTAGGGAAGCTTCTCTTCCAACCCTCTACCCCTCCCCTGGACCTGGATGCCACGAGGCCCCCAAGACGCTCCAAGACCTCCAAAAAGCTTCCAAGAGACATCCGATGAGACTCTGAGAGGCACTCGCATGGGCATCGTTTCTGGATGGGCTGGTGGGGATACTTTTGATACGCGGGCGCGCGAAGCAAAGTCGAACGCCGAGCAGGCTGGGGCTGGTGGGATTCGACTTACTCAATCATTGTCGAGCCTCTCGGTCGACGTGTCCACTT